CCAACAGAATAGAACAAAAAATTACTTTCCACAGAACTAGAACAAAAAATTTCACAATTTGTATGGAAACACAAAAAGCCTCAAATAGCCAAAGCAATCTTCAGAAAGTAAAATGGAGCTGCAGTAATCAATCCTGCTGACTTCAGATTACATTACAAAGCAACATTCATCAGGACAGTCTAGTACTGGCACAAAAATAGAAAGTCAGACCAATGGAACAAGACAGAAAGTCCAGAGATAAACCCAAGCACCTATGGGCACCTTATCTCTGACAAAGGAGGCAAGAATATACAATGGAGAAAAGACAACCTCTTCAATAACTAGTGCCAGGAAAACTGGACAGCTACATGTAGGATAATGAAACTACAACACTTCTTAAGACCATACATAAAAAAAAACTCAAAATGGATTAAAGAATTAAATGTAAGGCCAGAAAGTATAAGCTTTTCGAAGAATACATAGGTAATATACTCTTTGACATAAATCACAGCAAGATCCTCTTCGACTCACCTCCTAGAATGTAAATAAAAACAAAAATAAACAAATGGGATCTAATTAAAAGCTTTTGCACAGCAAAGGAAACAATCAACAAGATTAAAAGACAACCCTCAGAATATGAGAAAATAATTGCAAACAAGAAACAACTGACAAAGGATTAATACCAAAAAGCACATAAGCAGCTCATACAGCTCAGTATCAGAAAAACAAACAACCCAATCAAAAACGGGCAGAAGACCTAAACAAAATTTTTGAAAGAAGACATACAGATGGCCAATAAACATGTGAAAAGATGCTCAACATCACTAATTATTAGAGAACTGCAAATCAAAACTATGGTGACGTATCACCTCACACCAGTCAGAATGGCCATCATCAAAAAATCTACAAGCAATAAATGCTAGAGAGGGTGTAGAGTAAAGGGAACCCTCTTACACAGTTGGAACTGACACAGCCTCTATGGAGAACAGAATGGAGATTCTTTAAAAACTAGGAATAAAACTATCATCACCCAGCAACTCACTACTGGGTATATACCTTGAGAAAATCATAACTGAAAAAGACACATGCACCCCAATGTTCAGAGCAGCACTGTTTACAATAGCTAGGACATGGAAGCAACCTAGATGTCCATTAGCAGATGAATGGATAAAGAAGATGTGGTACATATATACAATGAAACATTACTCAATATAAAGGGAACAAATTTGAGTCAGTTCTTGTGAGGTGGATAAACCTAGAACCTGTTATACAGAGCGAAGTAAGTCATAAAGAGAAAAACAACCAGAATCACAGAAGACTAACCAAACTGATCACATAGATCACAACCTTGTCTAACTCAGTGAAACTATGAGTCATGCTATGTAGGGCCACCCAAGATAGACAAGTCATGGTGAAGAGTTCTGACAAAACGCAATCCACGGAGAAGAGAATGGCAGACCACTTCAGCATTCTTGCCTAAGAACCTCATGAACAGTATGAAAAGGCAAAAAGATATAACACTGAAAGGTGAAGTCCCCACGTCAAGAGGTGCCCAATACACTACAAGAGAACAGAGAAATAGCTCCAGAAGACACAAAGAGGCTGAGCCAAATCTGAAACAATGCTCAATTGTGGATGTGTCTGGTGGCGGAAATATAGTTCAATGCTGTAAAGAACAATATCGCATAGGAACTTGGAATGTTAGGTTAATGAATCAAGGTAAATTGGAAGTGGTCAAACAGGAGGAAGTGGCAAGAGTGAACATCAACAATTTAGGAATCAGTGAACTAAATGGACAGCAATGGCCAAATTCAATTCAGATGACCATGATATCTACTACTGTGGGCAAGAATACCTTGGAAGAAATAGAGTAGCCCTCATAGTCAACAAAAGAGTCTGAAATGCAGTACTCAGGTGCAATCTCAAAAATGACAGAATGATCTCTGTTCATTTCCAAGGCAAACCATTCAATATAACAATAATCCAAATCTATGCCCCAATCATTAATGCTGAAGAAGCTGAAGTTGAACAGTTCTATGAAGACCTGCAAGACCTGCTAGAACTAACACCAAAAAAAGATGTCCCTTTCATCATAGGGAACTCGAATGCAAAAGGAGGAACTCAAGAGATACCTGGAGTAACAGGCAAGTTTGGCCTTGGAGAATAAAATGAAGCAGGGCAAAGGCTAACAGGGTTTCGCCAAGAGAACACACTGGTCATAGCAAACACCCTCTTCCAACAACACAAGAGTAGACTCTACACATGGACATCACCAGATGGTCAGTGAGTACTGAAATCAAATTGATTATATTCTTTGCAGTCAAAGATGGAGAAGCTCTATACAGTCAGCAGAAACAAGATGGGGAATTGACTGTGGCTCAGATCATGAACTCCTTATTGCAAAATCCAGACTTAAATTGGAAAGTAGAGAAAACCACTAGGCCATTGAAGTATGACCTAAATCAAGTGAAGTGAATTCGCTCAGTTGTGTCTGACTCTTTGCGACCCCATGGCCTGTAGCCTACCAGGTTCCTCAGTCCATGGAATTTTTCAGGCAAGAGTACTGGAGTGGGTTGCCATTTCTTTCTCCAGTGGATCTTCCTCACCCAGGGATCGAACCTGGGTCTCCCGCATTGCGGGCAGACACTTTACCATCTGAGCCACCAGGGAAGCAAATCCCTTACGATTACAGAGTGGAAGTGACAAATAGATTCAAGGGATTAGATCTGATAGACAGAGTGCCTGAAAAACTACAGATGGAGGTTCATAATACTCTACGGGAGGCGATGATCAAAACCATTCCCAAGAAAAAGAAATGCAAACAGGCAAAATGGTTGTCTGAGGAGCTTTTACAAATAGCTGAGAGAAGAGAAGCTAAAGGCAAAGGAAAAAAGCAAAGATATATCCATCTAAATGCAGAGTTCCAAAGAATAGCAAGGAGAGATAAGAAAGCCTTCCTCAGTGATCAATGCAAAGAAATAGATGAAAACAATAGAATGGGAAAGACTAGAGATCTCTTCAAGAAAATCAGAGATACCAAGGGAACATTTCATGCAAACATGGGCTCAGTAAAGGACAGAAATGTTATGGACCTAACAGAAGCAGAAGATATTAAGAAAAGGTGGCAAGAATACACAGAAGAACTGTACAAAAAAGATCTTCATGACCCAGATAATCACGATGGTGTTATCAGTCACCTAGAGCCATATATCTTGGAGTGTGAAGTCAAGTCAGCCTTAGGAAGCATCACTATGAACAAAGCTAGTGGAGGTGAGGGAATTTCAGTTGAGTTATTTCAAATCCCAAAAGATGATGCTGTGAAAGTGCTGAACTCAATATGCCAGCAAATATGGAAAACTCAGCAGTGGCCACAGGACAGGAAAAGGTCAGTTTTCATTCCAATCCCAAAGAAGGGCAATTCAAAGAATGTTCGAACTACCACACAATTGCACTTATTTCACACACTAGCCAGGAAATGCTCAAAATTCTCCAAGCCAGGCTTCAAGAGTAAGTGAACCGAGAACTTCCAAATGTTCAAGCTGGATTTAGAAAAGGCAGAGGACCCAGACATCAAACTGGCAACATCTGTTGGATCATAGACAAAGCAAGAAAATTACAGAAAAACATCTATTTCTGCTTGATTGGCTACACTAAAGCCTTTGACTGTGTGGATCACAAGAGATGAGAACACCAGACCACCTTACCTGCCTCCTGAGAAACCTGGACACGTCAAGAAGCAATAGTTAAAACCAGACATCGAACAACAGATTGTTGTTTGAAAACAACAATTTTCAACATTGGGAAAGGAGTATGTCAAGGCTGTATATTGTCACCCTGCTTATTTAACTTATATTCAGAGTATATCATGCGAAATGCCAGGTGGGATGAAGCACAAGCTGGAATCAAGACTGCCAGGAGAAATATCAATAACCTCAGATATGTAGAGGGCACCGCCCTTAAAGCAGAAAGTGAAGAGGAACTGAAGAGCTTCTTGATGAAGGTGAAAGAGAAGAGTGAAAAATCTGGCTTAAAACTCAACATTCAGAAAATGAAGATCCTGGCATCCGGTCCCATCACTTCTTGGCTAATAGACAGGGAAACAGTGGAAACCGTGACAGACTTTATTTTCTTGGGCTCCAAAATCACTGTGCACAGTGACTGTAACCATGTAATTAAAAGACACTTGCTCCTTGAAAGAAAAGCTATGACAAAACTTGACAGCATGTTAAAAGACAAAGACATTACTTTGCTTACAAAGGTCCATATAGTCAAAGCTATGTTTTTTCCAGGAGTCATGCATGGATGTGAGAGCTGGACAATAAAAAAGGCTGAGCGCTGAAGATCTGATGTCTTTGAATTGTTGTGCTGGGGAACACTCTTGAGACTCCCTTAGACTGTAAGGAGATCAAACCAGTCGATCCTAAAGGAAATCAACCCTTAATATTCATTGGAGGGACTGATGCTGAGGCTGAAGCTCCAATACTTTAACCACCTGATGAGAAGGCTGACTCATTAGAAAATACCGTGATGCTGGGAAAGACTGAAGGCAGAAGAAGGGGACGACACAGGACGAGATGATTGGGTGGCATCACTGACTCAGTGGACATGAGTATGAACCAACTCCAGGAGTTGGTGAAGGACAGGAAAGCCTGGCGTGCTGCAGTCCATGCCGTCGCAAAGAGTTGGACAGGACTGAGCGACTGAAGAACAACTAGATACTGCTCATCATTACTAAAGGGAAGATTACTAAGGAGATAACCAAGACTTTCACCCTGATTGTTACTAGTAAGAGAAAGAGAATACTTTAAAATGAAATGACTGCGGTTGAATCAATTAATATATAGTAATACGTTTACAACGGAGCCCATGCGTGGGCTTATCACTTGCACCCCTGTTGTTACAGACAGATGAGTTCCAACTAGCCCACGTCAAGTGCTCTGGAAAAGTTCGTAGGGAGGTCCGGGGCGCCTCTAGTAAAGAGATCGTCACCCGCCTCACCAGGTCTGAGGAATGCCACGTACCGAACTTGAGAGTCGTCGTCCTCGGGCGCCTGTGTCTCTATGCACGCCCGCCTCAAGGCAGTGATCTCGGCTTCTAAGGCGCGGGCTTTTGCCCGCTGGGAATCCATGGAGCTGTGCTGACGTGAAGCTGCCTGACTTGGGCGCGCCAGGTCTGGTTCTTGAAGCCTCGCGCGCTCCTGGAGCGAACCATTCCGGAACTCGGCGGGGGAGGCAAGGGAACGACGCGAAATTCCCGCGCCTACAACTCGGTCACGCAAGTGTCTCCGGCTCGTTGCCAACCCTGCGCACTTTTCCACAGCTGTCCTCCAGCAGTCCTTACGCTTCAAGAGAGCTGAAATCCCTCTCGAAGCGCAAGAGCGCAGCTACCCACCCCGACCTGGTGGCGGCTTGGAGCCCCAGTCACGGAAGAGGCGGTTCCGCGAGCACTTGAAGAGGGAGCCTCTTTGTATTTCTTCCCCTTCCTCATTTCCGCCTACCGTATCCAGGAGATAAGGTGATAACCCTCTTCTGTATGAATTAGGAAATTTTAGTTTGGGATCTTTTGCGGACTTAGAGGCAGGGGACGGGGTCATCGCGATTGCCTGGAAGACTGGAAACGAAATAAAGAACACTGGGAAACTGAGCGTAGTATTGGAACCTCAGGAGGCTGGGTTGGAAGTCCAGTAGGAAGAAAGAGATAGGGTACTTGTTGGGACACGTGACTAGAACTTAGACCTGTAAGCCGCGCTGGATGTAGAAAAAGAAGTGGTGAGCCCGGGGCTTGGGGCCTGGGATGGGAAGGGGCTAATTGGTCTACCTTCACCGTGCTCGTGTTCAAGTCTTCTCAGAGAAAGAAGGATGGGGTGGGTAGGTTTGGGACAGAGGAAGCTACCCGGAAGATATAGGCCGTGGCTCACGCCTAGATCTCGACCCATGCTCTGGCATTTTGGCGTTTGTTTTGGGGTTCCGTGTGTGCGGAGTCTGTCAGCTGGTGGGGAGGGGCTTGTTGGGAGTTGAGCACCAGCTGGGCACTAAGCAAGATAGGCATTATAGGCCTTAAATCCCAGTATCTGGAAGAGTTTTCCTGAGTCCCTTCTAATCCAACAACCTCCCTAGTACAGTGTTAGGAATTACGGATTCTGAAATTAGATTTGAGTTAGCTTCACCGCTAATTCTCTGAATGGCATTGGGAAAATGACTTCACCTTTCCTGCTAATCTGAAAAAAGGTGCCTGCAAACTACTTCATGCAACGCTGGCTCATAGTGTTAAAAAGAAAAAAAATCTGTATTAGCTTTGATATCCGTTGTTCTTTTTGTGCCTGAAAACCACTTTGTATGTATTTCTGTTGTAATGTAGTATTGCAGTTGTAGCCTTTGCTTACTTCTCATTTGACTATGAGAAGCTTGAAGATGGAGAGCGTAAAGAATCTGCCTGCAGTCTGGGAGACCTGGATTCCATCCCTCGGTTGGGAAGATCCTGTAGAGGTTAATATGTCCCATCCCATTTCTGTCGGTTTATTAAAGTGAGTGAATAAAGGAGAAACACCTAACAGTATGGATTAATAAACTCAGGAGGAGTAGAGTGTAATATTGTGGTCATTGAGAGGGATGTCCATCTGCACCCGTGTCTGTGTACTGTTCCAAAATGCATTCATGAAGAACAAGGATGTAGTGTGTGAACAGTCTTCAGGAATAAAGTTGGGAACAATACAATAGGAAGGGAAGCACAAATCCAGGCAACCAGTTGGCATAGAAGTTTCAGGGAAAGGAGTTGAGGGTTTTTTGGTTTGTTGGTTGGTATGAGTTTTATTTTGTTGTTGTTTGTTTGTTTGTTTCAGATTTAAGGGAAAGAACTCTAGGTAGAAATTTTTTTCCACGATAACACCCTGGGTGTTTGTCCAGCCTTGATGAAAGCCAACAGAGAAATGAAACGCCTTTTTGTGGGTGGTCTTGGGCAGAATATTTCTGAGGCAGACTTGCAGAATCAGTTCGGCAGATTTGGAGACGTTTCTGATGTGGAGATCATCACTCGGAAAGATGATCAAGGTAAATTGAGAGTTCTTCATAGGTAATTAAAGCAAATATAACTCAAGTCAAATACCACAAAATAAAGGAACCCCTAAAGATGAATGTTAGCCTTGAACACTGAAAGTGATGTTATTTCATTATGATAGTATAGTACTAACCCCATCCCAGCACATATGCCCTGGAGGTATTATGTATGAAATAAAAAAATTCTAAATTCCCAAACATCCCCCGGCCCTTTTTTTGGTGGGGAGGGAGCATGTAGCTTGCAAGATCTTAATTCCCTGACCAGGGATTGAATCTGCCCTCTGCAGTGAAAGCCCCAAGTCTCACCACTGGACCTCCAGGGAATTCCCAAACATCCAGTTTCTGAAACATGTTGCTTTAAATTTTCAGAGCTAAAATTCCAATAATTACTAAGTGTCCTGTTAGAATACCACTAACATATAAACATGCAAAATGTTTCCTTAACTGACTGCTTGACCTTTTTCTCGTACATATTTTCTTTTAAAATATTTAGATAATAATGCTTTAAAATTTGCAATCTTTGTAGCCAATGAAAAATAAACAAGGTTTTTTTTTTGAAAGAGTAAGTTTCTAAGAGGTCTTTTTTAAATTTAGAAGTCATTTTTACATTATTCTCTGGGTGAGAATTTAAAGCTTTTTTTTTCTTTTTTAGGAAACCCACAGAAAGTCTTTGCATATATCAACATCAGAGTAACAGAAGCAGACCTGAAAAAATGTAATGAATGTTTTCTATACCATTTACCATTTCCTGTCACTGTGTAATTTGGAATAACCTTGATTCTAAATCTAAACAGCCACTTTTACGTCATTGAGAGGGACAACCATGATGAATAGAATTCTGATATTCTACAGTTCGAGATTTACATTCATTCCATAATGCATGACTTATGGTAGCACATTACCAATGAGTTTGCTTAAAAGTGGCATTCTCAAATATTGTGGACAAAGGACCACGCTTTAATAGAAACTACATGTTACCTATATCCCACTGGATAGTATGCCATACCCCGCTCCTCAGGGTCTTCATTTCTCAGGCAAATAATTCTTGTTAATAAATGCTATTAGAAGAGGGCTTTACATCGAAACATGTATATTATCTAGGGTGAAACAGATCACCAGCCCAGGTTGGATGCATGAGACAAGTGCTTGGGCCTGGTACACTGGGAAGACCCAGAGGGATCGGGTGAAGAGGGAGGTGGGAGGGGGGACCGGGATAGGGAATACATGTAAATCCATGGCTGATTCATTTCAATGTATGACAAAAACCACTGCAATGTTGTAAAGTAATTAGCCTCCAACGAATAAAAATAAATGAAAAAAAAAACAAAAAAAAAAGAGGGCTTTACATTATGCCCTTATAAATCCTTGAAATTATGAATTATCTATCAATAAGGTTACGAAAACTGAGGACCAGCTGTGGCCTTCAGTGAACAAAGAGCGAGAGGTAATTCATACTGCCACTCATGTAGAAATACATCCTAATTATTTGGAGACCGAAAGGTCAAAAGACACTGAGTAGGAAGCATGCTCATAGAGAAGGAAGGCCATCGGCCTTTTGTAATGTCATCTGTCCAGTTGGAAACATGACAAGTACATTGCAGTTTTAAGAACACAGTTCTGCTGTGTGACCTAGCAGCTTTATTTAAAGTAGAAGACCCAGTTTGTTTATCTGATGTATGACCAAGATATTGCTTGTCTCTTAATATTACTATGAATATGAAATTGAATAATACTTTTGTACTTAGCATAGTACCTGTCTCACAGAAATTTCTCTTAGTGATAATTATTAAGGAAGCTGATAGCAGATACTGAGAAAAATCAGCTACTGTGGTACAGTAGTTCAAACACAGTTTAGTTGCTTGTGCTAGTATGTTTGCAAGTTATGCAGTGATAATTAGTATGAGGTGATAAGTAAGAATGAGGAGCTGTAGGATTCCAGTGTCCTCTGATTCTCCCTAAGAAAATTACATTAATCTATAGTTTTAGTGTGGTAAATAACAATGATATGTTAAATAAATACCAACCATTTGCCAGAGATTTCTGACATTACTTTATATTTTGCTTTAAGGTTTGCACATTTGCCTCATTCAGATCTTCAAGTTATATGAGACAATAGGGAATATAAGAATCTAATAAGTGGTCAAGATAAGAATGGGACCTAAGCCACCTCTTTCCAGCCTCACTTTCCTTATTCTCTTTCCTCTGTGTGTCTGTGATAAACAAGTTTTCTTTTTTTCGTACTAATTAGTAAAAACACATGCTGAAATATATTTTTGCATTGCCACGTACTTGGGTACTAATTCTTTGCTTTATAGGTATGTCTGTTTTAAATAAAACAAAATGGAAAGGTGGGACACTGCAAATTCAGCTAGCAAAGGAAAGTTTTTTGCACAGGTAAGGTTTGCTGTATTTGATTTAATCCAAACATTAACACACTAATTTCTTAATATTGTAAGTGATTTTATATGTTCACTTAATTGATTTGAAACTATCATATATTATTGCAGTTTTAGCAAATTTATGCAGTATAGGTAGAGCTAAAATCCTTCTTAACTGAGATTCCCTATGACCCCAGACCCCACCAAAGAAGATAATGTAATGTTCTTATATATGGATATTTTAACCTATAAAAATATGTACTTATTTGCTGCTTTTTAGACACAACCTTTTATGATGATGTAGGTCTTCCCCCTTCTTTGTAATACCTATTTAGTACTATTTTAGAAAATGTCCCACAGTCTAGTTAATCATCCCCCACTCATGGACCTTTAGACCATTTCCACTTCCTCTTGATAACAGATGACCCTTGAAGATATCTTCTATATATGTACAGGGGTCCCTCTGGTGTGTATGTCAACAAAAGGAGTTGCTATCTCATGGAGTTAAGCACACTTAAAATTTTAATAGATGGTACCAAATTGCTTATATTAACTTTAAACTGTTAATGAAAGTGTCATACAAAAACATAAAGATAATAGGGATCCCTGTAAGAGATGCATAAGATTAATTATGCTTAAGATTTAAGAACAAGGCAATGTAAAAACTATTAAAGCATTTTAAGATTCTAAAAGTATCCTTAGGGAGAAACGATTGTATGAGTTTGGGTGCTTTCAAAATAGGAGACATTTTCAGAATGTACAAATAAAGTGACCAAGAGAGTTTTAAGATTGTTCTCAGGCAAAGAAATGCCACAAGGAAAAATAAGGTCTAAATCAAATTTTGTGGAACTAGCCTGGAGACGAAGGTGAGGATTTTGTTCTTCAGCTGTCGGCCTCTGTGAACAGGGGAGCGATGCGGCTTTGATTCAGCAGTACGTTGGTGCCTATTATAGGCAAGAACTGGGGCTCTCATCCTGAGCAGGGTGAGCATGCAGCGCTGCTGCCTTTGAGTGCCTGTGCACATCTGCCTGTGGAGCATGAATCTTGGAAGTTGAAACGTAAAAGAGCTACACCAGAGGCAAAGAGGCCAATGAGAATCGGTCAGCACAGTTGACCAGGCCTGAATCAGATAGGGAGTTTGCATTGGAAGGTTGAGTTGGCATTCTATTCTGCATTCTCTTCATTATGAGAGTAGTAATATTCAAGATTTAGCAAATTAGACTCTGAAAGAAGAGACCTTTTCCTCACAACAAAGAGAAGGGATCAAAAATAGATAAAATGCCAAAAGTACGTAAGTTGAAAGGGAAAAGCTGAGAGACCCCAAATGATACCTATGAAGTTAAACAGCTTTATAGTATGAGAAAAAAGACAGAAGTGTGGTTAATAGTGTGATTGGTTATTTTAACTCTCTTATTTGTATTTTTTCTTTGATTCAGATTGGCCCAAGAGAGAGAAGAAGCAAAAGCAAAGAAAGGAAAATCAACAACAGGCAATACCAGCTTGTTAGAAAAGATGAAAACAGTGGATTTCCATGTGAAAGCTGTGCCAGGAACAGAAGTACCAGGACACAAAGTATGTCACCCCTGGTAGGCTGAGTAGCCTAGGAACCAATTCCTGAGACCAAATGACCATGAACATCACGTTTAAAGCAATTGCTTTTTTCTTCTCTCTTGCTTTGAAGCAGTTAACATGAATAGTGCTTTATGATCTTCCAAGTGCCTTTACAGCTCTTGGGAAAGCACAGGTTTCCCCCATTTTAGAAAGAGAAATAAAAACCCACGTGGAGGCAAGTCTCCTGAGGGGAATAGAGGTGGTGAGGAGTCCAATCAGGTCCCAAGTTTGCCTTTTTAATGGCTGTTATTTCTGTACCATCCTATGTGATTTATATGGGATCAACAACTGCCCCAATTTTCCTTCTTTCTGTATTCTTTTTTTGTAAGTTATATTTATGCAGAATGGTTAATCTTTTCTGTTTGTGACAAGTATAATAAATATATCCTTTTTTTTCTTTTAGAATTGGGTTGTGAGTAAATTTGGAAGAGTCTTACCTGTCCTTCATCTGAAGAATGAACGTAAACGTAAAATATCCTTAACAGTTGGCCTTTCAGAGGAATTATTGTTGACTACAGTGATGGATATTTGCAGAAGTTAACTTCGTATCTTTGGAGTTTCACTGCTGCTGTCAGTAAATCTTTAGATGTTTAAGAGTTTTTATGTTCCCAATTTCTCTGTAAGGTAAGATCCACTTACCTACATGTATGAAACAATTAGAGGATGAGAAAATGTAGTGACGTTTTATACAAGTAAGTGATACAAATGATGCTTGTTAAGCCAGCAATTTTATTTACTAATTTATATATCATTCCTCTCATTTGACATGGATTCAAAGCCAATTTCCAGAGGAACTAAGGAAGGGCCAGGGAACACAGTGCAGTCATAAAAGTAGCCTTTTGACAGCAGAGAGGAGGATTTGAAAGGACAGTGTAAAGCCAAGAGATAATAGACACTATTTGACACACTTCACATATAATTAGTCAGGTATTCAGTAGTTACTAAGTGAACAAAGGAACTTTTCAGGAGTGAGAGATTAAAGCAGCTTATACTTATCTATTCGTATGTTTTAGGAAATCAGCCAATGCCACTGACATTGACTAGAATCTTTCTGGACAGGGTTAGCACAAAACAGATCTGATAATTATTAGCCTTCTAAGAAAGACCTGCAAGAATTCAGAGAGTGAGTAAAATGTGAAGTAGATGTTTGAGCTAAGAGAATCAGGTCTAAGATGAGCCAGCATTAAAAAGACAGGAGTGATCAAAATGTTGGAGAATCTTTGATTCTCAGGTTTGAGATAACCAGCGCTCAGTGTCTAGTTGTTCCCCCTCTGACTTCCCCTCTATACTCTGCTTTATGATGTTAGCAGTGAATAATTTCTCAGACATATAGAAAAGTACCTAGAATATAATCTTAAGTCAGTTTGTTGTAATATACATATACAACCCAAGTAATTTCTTCCACTTAATAGTGATTGATGATCGTTGGTTTTCACTCTGGACATGCCATAGACATGTCAGTTCCAAAGACCCTGAGTTACCTAATGAAGTCCTTTTTGTTTGATTGGAAACTGAGGGTAAAATGAATCAATGATTTGCTTAAGATTAAACAGTATTCTTTTGCTTCACCAGATTGATAGGTTTTTCTAAAACCTAGTGCCTTTTTTTGTTCCTTGACTGTTGGTGACATCATGAAGTATGATCCCTCAAAATACTGCCACAACTTAAAGAAGATAGGGGAGGATTTCACAAATGCTGTCCCTATATCCAGCCTCACCTGGGAACTGGAAGGAGGGAATGATCCTATGAGTAAGAAACGGCGAGGAGAATTCTCTGACTCTCACAGCCCTGCCAAGAAGATAATAAAAGTGCAGAAGAATGAGGGTTCTACTGCATTTCTAACCATGAGATCAAAACCTAGTAGCGTAATGGAGAGTCCGCATTTAATACAACAAGTTGCACAAAAAACACCTCATAATTCCATTACTCCTAAATCACCCAATATAACTGATTTTGATCATCAGAAATTTAAAAATATATTTTTTCAGACTTCTGGTTTAGAAACTACCAAAAACAGAAATAGCATATCTGATGATGATATTGATTCTGAAGATGAATTAAGACTAATGATTGCAAGAGAGGAAAACTTAGAGAAAACTACATGGTCCTCAAATGAATTTGAAAATGGTCCCTTTGAAGTTGTAAGGGATGATTTTAAATCTGATTTTCACAAATTTCATACTTCAGCAGGTTTAGGCCTCAAAAACAGTGTCTCTTGCTTCAACAGTGAAAATAATGTTATGGAAAATGGTTGTGACTCTGATTCAGGAGATACAGATGAAATCATTGCAATGAAAAAAAGCTCTGGTAAGATCGAAAACGGTGTAGATTTTTCACAAAGAGAAAAGTCTATGGACAAGAAGACTTACTTGAAAAACAGAAAAAAGTATGATCTTTCTGATGGCTGTGTTAAAGAACAAAAAAGAAAAAACAAAGTAGAGATAGCCCTCAGTCACAGAGTTAAGCCTCTTAGTTGTAAATCTCTGATTGAGTCCAGTAGCAGTGAAGATGCTGGTTCTGTATCAGAGTCAACTGAGTGTGAAGGAGATAAGGAGTATAACACCTTGATGGAAAACTGTCTCCGTGTGAATCTGACTTTGGCTGATTTGGAACAGTTGGCTGGCAGTAACCAGGAGGCTCCAAAAGAAAAGACTGAGAGCAATGGCCAGGAAACCACTGCCAAGCGTGACAGGGCCTCCAAGAGCCAAAGGACTCCAGGTGACCTCCGCAGAGGCCAGCAGTGTATTCACCCTGAGGAGATTGTGGCTTCTCTTTTAGAAGGAAGAGAGAACCCACGTGGAAAACAGAAACCAAAGGAAAATACCTTAAAGCCAAAATTTCAGGCTTTCAAAGGAGTGGGCTGTCTCTATGGAAAGGAATCAGTGAAAAAATCCTTGAAAGAGAGTGTTGCCTCTAATAATATTAATAAAGATCAAATTTCCTTGAAACTTGAGGAACCGAGGAACATGTCCATGGGAAAATGGTCCCTGTGTGCTAATGGCCTATCAAATGAACAGACTCCTTTCCAACATGGAAAGGAGGCAAATGATGCAAACCAAATTCAGCCTCAAAAGAGACAGTCTTTTGCGAGCCAGAGTCACAAAGTGGTGTCCCCTAACAGTTCAGAAAAGAGAAATAGAAATCCTATTTCTAGTCTGTTGCCACTGAAAGATAAGAAATCCCTAAGTTGTGGTGCTGAGACTCTCAGCAGAGGCCTTGATGAAGACTGTTGCCACAGGACTGGGCAGTCAGGAGAAGGCTCTGAAAGAAGGCCTGATCTGTGCAGCTCCCAGGCCCCTGAGAAACCACCAGAGGTTTTCTCAAGGAGAGACTCCCAGGGAAGCAAACCTGACTTCCCACTTCCTGTTAATAGTTCATCAGATGTTAATGCTAAGGATAAACATGCTGAAGATAATCAGAAACGTTTGGCAGCCTTAGAGGCAAGGCAGAAAGCCAGAGAAGTCCAAAAGAAGCTGGTTCACAATGCTCTGGCAAATTTGGTGAGTATATTTTCAGTCTAGGAATTTACTAAGGACTCTCCAGGTCTGGTCTCTTTCTTTCCCACAAAGGTAGGCAGGCCCCTTTAGAGCTGAATGTTTGTGTTTTATGTCCTTTTGTCTGTATAGTATATCTGGATATTGCTTTAGAAAATATTACTGATATAGCTAAGTGATGTGTACTAATACATCTCAATTGCCATATATATCTCCTGTCAAGTGAGTCGTGTCTTACGAAGATTTACTATAATGGGACTTTATTCATTTTTTCAAGAATTTGTTAAGTTCCTACAAAGTTCCAGGCCTTTACAGCAAGTGTTCGATTTATAGAAAAGATCACTATCAGGCTGTATTGGCTCACAGTGTGGTAAACAGAGGGTCACAGTTTGGTTCCATGCAATGGGAAAGAAGTATGCCTACGTGCTCTGACAGGAAGCAGACCAGTTTGTTGGCATTGCTGGGGAGTGGGTACTTCCCCGGATGACCTGAGTCTAGTGGGAAAAACTCAGTAGAAATTGGTCTGGCAGAGGCAAAAGGGTAGAAAGAGAGAGGAAAGGCATTATAAGATAAGGCAGCAGTTTGTACAAAAGTGAATATTTGCAATAACTTACTAAATAGAGTACAAGGTGGTGAGAAGTGAGAGAGATAAGTAGGCTACAGGGCTGGAGTTTATTCTTAAGTCTGGGAAAAGACTAAAGGACTGAAAGCAAGGGAGGAAAGATAAGTTGTGTTGGAACAGGAATTGGCAAATGAGCCCGTGTCCTGTTTTAAAAGAGCCTCCTAGCTAAGAATGGTTTTTACATTTTTAAAGAGTTTTTAAAAGAAGAATATAGAACTGAAACTATATGTGGCTTGCAAAGCCTAAAATATTTATTCTCTGGCCCTTGACAGAGAAAGTTTGCCAACTTCTGTTTGGGGCAAATGGTTCAGGATGTGGTGAGAACAACAAATTAAATGCGACAAATAAAGGAACGGGGATAGACAGTCTTTAGGAGGTTTTGAGCCAGAACCAAGGCAGTGACTGTGGGAATATATTTTTTAAATAGCAGGAAGGCCCAACTGATGGGACTTGGTGATCAACTGGAAATGGAAAGTGAGAAGTTTCTATCTTGGGATGATGGCGGCATTCACTAGAGAAAAAATAGGGTGGGAAATAGACTTACTTGGGGAAGGAGATGAGAAGTTGTCTTAAAGGTAATGCTTTTGATAACCACTCTAGGATGGTCATCCAGAGGACAAGCCGACGCACATCATCTTTGGTTCCAATAGTGAAAGTGAAACAGAGGAGACATCCACTCGGGAGCAAAGCCATCCAGGAGAGGAACTGGTGAAAGTAAGAAATTTAAAATGTCCATATGGGCATGCCTTTACTTGTGCAGATCCATTTCTACATATTGCATACCAAAACCTGCCCATGACTGCTGTACTAAACATAAAATTTCCTCTGGGAGCCACAGTGAAACACAAAACTCCCCAGACCACCACGCATGGATGCTACAGGGGCCTTAGAGATTTTCTCCCACATAAATTTGTCCTCTGCAAAGTGACATCAATATTAGTGAAACCATGCAGAAAGTGTTCTTACATATAATAACTGCCCCCATTTCAGGCTGCATTAGGAGCCTCTGGAGACCCAAGGGGCCATGTAAATATCACTGAGTCAAGAGTTTCCATTATAACCACCACACTGTTTCCTGGGATATGCATCATTTTGAGTCATTTCTTAAGTGTAAGGAGGAAAATTGCATAATGAGATAAATACTGATTGTCTTGGTTATTAATAAACATTTCTGTCCTTGTGCAACAGGAGTCCATGGGTAGAGCCTCTGGGAAGCTCTTTGACAGCAGCGATGATGAGGAATCTTGTTCCGAAGATGACAATAACAGGTTCAGAATTAAACCTCAGTTTGAGGGCAGAGCTGGACAGAAGGTTAGTGAAGACTGAAAATAAAAAATTTGCAACATGCTCTTTTATTTTTTCAACATAGTCCTTAAATCTAGGTTAATGAAGGCAGACCTTGCCCAAACTCTAACATTAAGGTTTTTATTTTGAGATTGAGTCCTCCATGGCCCTCTTTGTTTGGTTCATGGGTAGGTGAGGTTACGCAAGCATTAATGTAGTAAATTTCACAGCGTGGGAAGTATACTTGGAGGGTCTTGTTTATAAGTAATTTCTTGGGAATGAGACTGTCAGTTGTGTTTGTGTTTTTTCTTTAGCTCATGAATTTGCAGTCTCACTTTGGCACTGATGACAGATTTCGCATGGACTCCCGATTTCTAGAAAGTGATAGTGAAGACGAACATGATGGTAAATGACTCATTGTCCAAACAAACAGTCCTGATGTCAGAGCTGGCATACCTTGAGAAATAAACTCATCTAGCATCTTCACTTAACACATAGAGAAGTGTTTTATGTATATATAACACACAGAGTGTTATGTGTACCTGGTGTGTTATATGTACATGTAACACTTGTACATATTAATTTATTTATAAAATTTTAATTACCTGAAGCTGCCAGAAAAGACAGGAATAATAGCATCTGTCAGAGGTACCATCTTCCCTCATCCCGTTCCTGGTTTTAGAAGTCAAGGACCCTACCTGGCAATAGGTCAACAGGTCCTTGTGAGGTTGTGTAAGACAGGTACATACCACTTGGCTTACTTAAAGAAAGTGTTCATGCTCGGTTCTGATTTTTTAAAGCAATGTATCATTGAATGTCACTCTACTTAAATTCATTCTTATTTGCATATATTTAACAGTATTGATGCTATCAGAAGTATCAGCAGCGGTTCCAAATGTTCTTTACAAGATCTTCTGTTCTTATCCTTTGCAAAAGACCTCATCTCCTATTTGACCAAGAGGAGGCCACTTCAAGTAGCTCCCAGCTTTCCTTTCCAATCTCAGAACTACTCTGTCCTTTCTTTTGTCTTCTTTCCTGAGTTTATCTAATCTGCATCTTGATCTTCTCCATTTATACCTCCTGTTCCCTCCTTTCTCATTTGCATCTTCACACTTAACTTTCTTCTATCTCTTTGCTCTTTCTACAGACATAATTAGGTCTCATAGGTTAAAAAAACCATTTCTTCAACCCTGCCAGTTTTAGTTGCCATTCCCTTTTTTTTTTTCAGTTCTAAGTCTGAAATGAAAAATAAATTGCATCTAATTTAGAAGCAGTTGATTTTATTGAAAGTACAATCTCTGGATATGATACTTTCAATTCTTTGAGGTGATTATTATGTATATTATACATTTCTGAAAACAAGTATTCTGAGAGTAGATTCTCTAGGATCCATACCAACTTATTGTTTCAGAACTTTTCACTCATCTGAGTAAGAATGGATAGAATCTTGGGATTAGTCAAGAAGCTATAGATGTTGCTTTCTAACTCCTGCCACTTTTGTCTGTCTCATATTTATAACTCTTTAAAGTGAGTTCCCTCAAAGCTGTGAATAACTGGTTTACCAGATGCAGTGGCATCTTCTCAAGCGTCACCCTTCAGCCTGCCTGTGGCATTTGTTACTGTTGATCATCCTTCTTGAAATGTTCTCTTCCCTTTGCTTCTATTGCACTATAACTTCCTTGTTTTCTTCATAATTCTTGGTTCCTAAATTTTCCATTTGCTTTGAGATACAGGTTCTTCCCAAGGTTCTGTAGTCCGTGTGGCTTTAGCCTTCATTTTTACATGAATATTTTCCACATCTGGGTCATCTTTGCTCCTGACTGTTCTGCTTTTCAACTTTAGATAGACCTGTGAGAAATATCCATCAGGCATTGAGGAAAGAATAATTGGGAGCTCAGCAGAAAAGTCAGGAGCAAAGATTACCCACATTTGGAAAATATTCATATATAAAAAAAGGCTAAAGCCATAGGGTCTTACAGAACCTTGGGAAGAACCTGTATCAGAGGTTCCTTGGGAACCTTTGAGACTGAATTTTTTGTGTGTTGCACAAAGACCGTCCTACAGGTAAGCAGCCTACCAATACACTGAGCTCTTCTAACATTCTGTTCTACTGCCTAATTGTCAATATTAGGATAAAATTAAAATTGCCACTTTTTGAAGTCAGAAATCATTGAATATGAGCAGTTTCATATGGTTTAGCCTAATGCAGTGTAAGCTCTTTGCAGTTTTTTTATTTCAGTACATGTTCATTTTGTTTCCTAGCATGCTCTCTTCCTTCCTCAGGGGACTACTTTGTCTTTCCTACCTTAGACTATACCTAGTTTGTAAAACATTTCTTAATCCAACTGAACATAATCCCTACCTCTTTTGAACCCTTAGATACTTTTGGGCCATCTCTATAGAAAATTTATGAAAAATCAGTGTTTTATTCTGTTAATTTCTGTTATTTAGTTGTTTATATCCTACAGTAATTTGAAAAGGTCTTTAAGGCTCAGACTTCTTTTATGTTTTCTCTTATAATCCAAACTGGCTGTTAAATGTTTAACTTTGTTCCCTGATACTTGTCTGTTTTTAGTAAATAAGAAAGCCAGCTTATAGGATTCCACAATGCCCTGTGTGTAGTCTCTCTTCCTGTGATATTTATTACTGAGTTTAAAAGCTAAAGTAACTGTCTGCTAACATACCATGTTAATAGTCAGTAAAATTACCACCTTTCACTGTCTTTCACTTTTAGATTTACATGTAATTTAGATTAATTTCTAGATTGTTACAAAAAATCAAAGAATCTTTATTCACTTTAGTTTTGTAATTACTGTCTTGCTCTATTACATTTGTCAATCTTTACCTTAAAAACTTAGACTTGCCACTGAAAGCCATTAATTTCATATTTTTATAATTATAAGTAGAAATGGAAATTTTGTTTGCTGGTCATGCAATTTCTGGATTCACTGTGACATCAGGGGCTTAGGGACAGAGAGGTTAGCAAAACAAGGTTTAGCTTTTCTTCTTCCTATCTTAATGTGCTTTGCACATGTTTAAGTGCTTGATAAATATTTGATTATTGAGATTTCTCAAGTTATTTTTGCCAGAAGATTACTAATTATCCTCTTCCCTCGAAGAAATAAATGAAAAAAAAACTGCTGAGGAGGAAGAGCTTGCTGCAGAAAAATTGAAAGCCCTGAATGTTGTGCAGAGTGTTTTGCAGATCAGCTTAAGCAATTCTACAAGCAAAGGATCAGTAGCTGCTAAGAAATTTAAGTATGTCTTATGTTTCATCTCACTCTTCTCTCTTCCTTTGCCACAAAATTAGGCCATTTTCAACTTCTTGGGGAGAGCAGTTAGCATATGTATCAGACTCTTAATATTATACTTACCTAGTCATTCACTTCAAGAAACTAATCTAAAATTTTTTCTGTATTTATTATTACTGAAAATTGGACAACTGTTTAAATATTAATAAATGTAACAGTTTATTATGGAGAATACATAACTTAGGGAGACTAGTGTAATGAAACCCCTGTGTACCATCACCCAACTTCTCCAATCACTAACATGTGACCAGTTTTCTCTTCTATACTTTTACTCACTACCCCCTACTTTCCCCACTGAAAATTTGTATTTTATATAAATCCCAATAGTATATCATTTTATCTGTATATATTTTCCTGCTTTAAAATAATATTTAAAAAATTTTCGAAGATCCCCTCAGAACTGGGTAATTTAAAATATAATTGCTTCTAAGGAGCTCCTGATATACTTAGTTGATATTTATGCCTTTGTCTTGTTCAAAAGTGGAATTGTCCTGGTTTTGCATTATGTTTTGCTATTAGTTTTTTGGATATATACTCTGATTTGTCCCTTCCAACTTATCACTCTCCTTTTTTAAATAGGGACATCATACATTATGATCCAACAAGGCATGACCATGCCACTTACGAAAGAAAGCAGGATGATAAACCAAAAGAAAGGTAAATTAAACTGCTATAGTTACTAGTAAGGTACCTGTGTTAATCTTTTAGATTTGGCAATTGTTTCATATCTATGTAAGATGCTACTATGAGGGGAAACTAGGTGAAGGTTATTTCTAGTTTTTCTATAAATCTGTTTCTAGTTTTTCTGTAAATCTAAAATTATTCCAAAATTAAGTTTCTTTTAAAAAGAATCACATTCAGACCATACAAGCCTCCTCATTGTGGAATGTCTCTGTACCTACCTGTCAAATCTAGTGGTGTTTCTGTTCCTTTAATTGTCTTAAAGTATTTGGGTCTCCTGTGAATCTTTTTGGGATTCACTTCATTAGACAAAAGCCAAAAATCTGTCGGGACTGCTGAGAAATAATACCTTTAAACTCATAAGAAGCCCTCTTGTTTTAACAGTTGGAGTTGCTGAGCTATATCTAGGTTCTCAACAAAGAATTTTGCTTTATATTAATAATTAGACTAGTGTACAAATTTTTCTCTTCAGATAACAATAGTATATATATTAGGCTTTGCAGGCCAGATGGTCTCTCTTGCAGTGACTCTCCTCTGTCCTTATAGCAGAAATGGAGCCATACATAATACATAAAGCGAACAAGGTAGGCTGTGTTCTAATAAAACTATTAGTAGGACACTGAAATTTGCATTTCATGTAATTTGTAAATATTATGAGCCCATCTTTTTATATAGTGTTTTCCAGTCACTTCAAACTACAAAAATTATTCTTAACTTGCAGTCCATACATAAATAGGCAGTGGCTTGGATTTCATCCATGGGTGTACGTTGCCAAAACCTGCTTTACACTATATTTTCCTGAGAAAATAGATTTGTTCTTTGCTTAGAAGATATTAAATTTTATGTTATTTGCCTTCTAGAGAATAGGAGTCTTCAAAACCATGAGGTCCTAGCTCTTTATTAAAAAAAACTTCTTTCTTTAGTTTCACTTTCTCTGCTTATATGTTACTGTAAGCAGCAAGAAGAAATCAGAAAATACCTTCAACACCTTCCTGGACATCTCCATTGCTAGATCACCCACTCATTAGGTTCATTTTTTACTTCCCAGTTAATAGAGGCGGCAGTGTTGCTAAGCCTACTGCCACTATATAACAATGATCTCCTTTCCTCCATTTTCCAATAGAGTTTACTTCACTTTTTTCCAAGGCCTTACTTGAAGCCTCAATTTTCATGTAGTTTCTACTAACAGTTTTTTCAGGGAATTTTCATGCTTTTGCTAACACCCTCCTCACTGACCTTCCAACTTCTGCTTATTGTGTGGGCTCTGAAGTCATTCCTACATTTTGGACTTTTATAGCAGTACCCTACTTCTAGGGACCAAAATATGTATCAGTTAGGTATTGCTATGTAAAAAATTGCCCCAAAACTAAGAACTTGAAACTAAAAATTTATTAGGTCCCAATTTCTGTGGGTCAGGAATTTGGGAGCACTTCACCAGGTAGTTCTGGCTTGGGCTCTCAAGAGGTTGTAGTTAAGATGTCACCTGGGGCTATAGTCTCTGAAAGTTTGCAGCCTGCTTGCAAGATGGTTCACACTCTTGACCGCTGGCAGGGGGCCTCAGTTCCTTGCTTTGTTGACCTCTCCTTTTGGGTGTTTGGGTCCCCTCAGAACATGGTATCTGACTTCTTCCAAAGCCGGTGATTAGGAAAGGGGAGAGAGCAAGGAGAAAGCCACAGTGCACTCTATAGCCCTATTTCAGTAGCTGTACACAATCCCATCTGCCTTACTCTGTTCCTTAGAAGAGGTCATTAAGAACAGACCACACTGAAAGGGATGGAGGAATTAACTCCCACTTCTTGAAGTATCAAAGGACCTTTGGACCACTTTTAAAACCACTACATTGTGTTTCATTGATCTTGGAGCTCAGTTTCATAGGAGGCATATTTGACTTACAGCCTACGGTTTATTTAATGAAGTATTAAAAGTTTTTCTGTATAAGATCGTCTCCACCAGTAAGATGATCACTTAGGACATTATTATTTTAGGTAAAACAGAATATTTGGCCTAGTAAATAGAATAGACTCTAGTGGAAAAAAAGGATTTTAATCTTTTACTATCTAAAAACTCAGTATGGGAGACTGCTGTGTAACTGTGGTTAAGACCAAAAACAAAAACATATTCCTAAATGTAGAGCAGGTTGATGGAAACAGAAGATTTCATCCCAGACCGACTAGACTTGACATATTCATAATGCGCTTCTACAACAGAATTATGGCTAAGTCCTTTAATGCCAGTGTCAAAACTCACAGTTTTACAGTCTGATAGCATCTTAAAAGTCATGTGGTTTAACCTGGTTCATCTTGCAAATGAGGATACTGAGGTCCATTGCAGTTAAGTAATTTTCTTACTCATAGCTGATATCTTAGGTGTTATTTCTGAAGTGTAGTTTAGAGGGTAAGAGAGGAGAATGTGATTCATGGTTAATACTTGGAGCTGTCTGAAATTAATTTTGTCTATAAAAAGCTTTTTAGGTTAAGATTCTGCCCTTGTGAGTTGTATATGTGGATCCTCTTGGTGGTTGGAAAAATGGGACTAATGTTATATAAGGTATTTTTATTTCCTGATTTCTGGAATTTTTCCAAACATTGACTTTTTTGTGATCTCTATATATGTCAACGCAGTAAAGCAAAACGAAAGAAGAAAAGGGAGGAAGCTGAGAAACTCCCTGAGGTGTCTAAAGAAATGTATTATAACATTGCTACGGATTTAAAACAAATATTCCAAACTGTAAAAGATACTAGTGAAAAGGAAGATAACACACCTTGGAATGAGGACTCTGATGGAGAGAAAGCTGAGTTTGTCCAGGACACTCCAGCTCTGATGACTCGGGATGAACACACTGGCGGGTTCACATTTTCCTTTTTTGAGTCTGACGCCAAGGATGAAAAGGAAGGTACATTTTTGTTTGTTTTTACTTTTTCATTTCATGCAGTTTGAATTTAATTGAGTCTCCTGTAAGGGTGATGATTTAACATTAGCTGAAGGCAGTATTCTCTTCTCTATCTAAATGAACAGTATTTCAGTCAGCATTACATAACCATAAATGTAATGTGCCTAGAGCTATGTTTAACACAGTAAGAAATTGTTCTTGAATTTGAAAGCAAACTTCTGGATAGCTGCCATTTGAAGGGAAGCCAGAGAATAATATGCAACATTCCTTCTTCTGTTGAGTAGAAATAGTCATATATTTAAATATGTTTAAGAAGTCGTATATTTAGATAGCTTTACATCTTTGACGCAGTTGGAGAAGCCATAACTTCAGGAAAGCCAGTGCTGTTTGTTAGGAGAAGAAATATGTAACCCTGGCTCTAAACAAATATGCTGTGTCATCAATATACCAGCTGTTTCAAACTTTATCCTTGGAGATTTGCCAGAACCTAGAGAAAAGTATATCACCGGTATATACAATTTTCCATTCCACTTCAAGAGGTTTACCTCCAAAGTCCTACATATAGTCTAAAAGTTTGAAACACCTGAGTACCATGGTCAGTCCTAAACTGTTGAACAGAGTTGGTATGATACAGATATTTTAATTTTTCTAACTTTGAGAGCCAAGTGTGAGAAATTGGCCTTGAAATGATTGCTAAGATACCTGAGCAACCTGGGAGATGTGTTTTATGTGCTTTGGAAATTATGAGGACTTTTGAAGTGACCATCCACATCTTTTAGCAGCAGCTTTTTCAGCAGTTTTAGAAGTAAGTTTAGGGAATTGAAAATGTAAAGATATGTTCCTTGTTTCCTTTAAGAATAAGCAGGAAGGCAAACTGGTTTCACTGCATCATGTTGTAGCTTAGACTCCTCAGTGCTAGCACAGGTGTCACACTTATTTTGCTCTTTCTTGTAAATTGTATTGCTCATTTGTAAGCCTTCAGTTTTTATATCTTTTTATAGTATTACTGTATTCCTTATGAGATCACTCTAGCAATGCCAAAAAATAAAAGTTTCTCTCAATATTTGAAAATCAAAAAGATACTACATGTTTTGAATTAATGATTAAGATATTCAAAATGTAGAAATATGTATGCATGGTGAAAGTAAACAAGTGAATGTGTCCATAAATACATGGGCTTTAGGTTACAGTTATATCATCTTTCATTGTCTTGATGACATAGAGACCTATAGGGTTGAAGCAGTAAAACCTGGGAAGATCGCCTGGCAGGGAGACCCTCGTTTCCAAGACAGCAGTTCAGAAGAGGAAGATGTTACTGAAGAAACAGATGACAAAAAGCAGAGCCCTGAGTAAGTAATGTGTTTCTGTCCAGATATAGTTCATAATTTATAAAGTCTGAGTTAGACATGCTTTAGAGATATTAGAGAAGTATCTTAAGTTTAGCTTTTCAAGACAGTTTTCTTTTTTTTGGCTCTTTAAGAGAGTTCTGTAGTCTTTTTTCATTGGGAGCATGTTTCTTTTCCTTGAGATTTGGATAGCACTGGGTGGGGGATATGCTGTGCAGAGGGAAGAAAGCCTGCCACTGAAGTCCCTGGTCTGGAAGAGGATGCTTCATCTTCTTGGCTGCTACCCCATAGGAAACACTAGCAAAACGGGTAGCAGTGGTTGGGTGAGAGTGTTAACAATCAGCATGGGGAAGATAGAGCTTGTACTTAAATCTTTGTTACCGAAGTTACAGGTAGCGGCAAAGAATATTGAATAGAGAAAGGGTGGTATTACTTTGACTCAGGGAAAAAATGAGCAAGACACAAAGCACAGATATTTAAGGCATAGTTCATTTATATTTACAGTGTGAACATTTCTTAAATGTTGAAATTAAGTGGCCAATTCTATCTTTCTCACTTCAGAGAAGTATCATTACCTGAGAAAGAGACTACTAGATTTTTCTTTTTCTCTAAGAATGATGAGAGACTTCATGGTAAGTCATTTTTTTTATTAAATGGTATATATAGTACATCTCTATTTATACATAGTGTATTCTGATATATTAATGCTAACATGCATCCAAGTAAGAACTGATTGGAAAAATTCTGATCCTTTGCAATGTGATATGCTTTAGACCCGTCTTGTTAGACAATCTTGTTGACATAAAGCTCTGGAAAACTGAAAGCTTCCCATTCATCACAACTTACTCGCTATCCTCAGCAAGGGCTTGTTTTGTTCCAGGGGCTTGCTGAGATGCTAGACATACAAAATTCATAAGTTTTTAGTACCCTAAAAAGTTCACATGAAGTATACTCAATATCTTGTAATAAACTATAATGGGAGAGAACCTGAAAAGACTGTATGTGTATAACTGAATCACTGCTGTATACTTGAAACTAACACAACATTGTGAATTAACTATACTTCAGTAAAACAAAAATAGAAAAAAAAGTTCACATGAAAATGCTGAGGCTGTTGAACTCATTTCTGAAGCCTAACACAAACAGAAACTAAGTTACATCATAGTAAATGGTTTATAAACAGTAAAAATCCTAGCAATTCTACATTTTCATTTTCTAAAAGAATAAAATATTTTTGAAAATTAGCATAAACTTGGGGTGGGGAATCGTGTTAACTAGAATTGAAGACCTTGATAATGCCAGCACTAAAATATTGTCTATTTTAATAATACTGTGCTGCCTTGCCCTTCTTTATTTTCCCTTCTAGGTTCTGACTTATTTTGGAGAGGAGTGGGAAGTAATATTAGCAGGAATTCTTGGGAGATCAGAACAAACAATTTGCGTATGGTGAGTATCACCATGTTAATTGTCTCCTGAAATAGATATGATGTTACCTCTGTGTTAATATTTGCCTGGTGTAGGAATATAGGAAGGCATGAAACTTGAGATAACTGAAAACATGATTTAAATGCTCACAATTAATAGTGCTGGAAGGGAAGTTTTAATTGTTTAGTTTAAATCCACCCATGTGCAGAAAGGAGACTAAAGATTGGCTCCATTAAGTGACTGATCTGAGTTCTCATCATGCTTAAGTAACAGGAAATGATGAAATTTTTTTAAAGACTGAATTACAGTTTCCATTTTAAGCATATAAAGCCAAAAGTCTGAACATTCCACATACATGTGAGCACTTCCAAAATGATTTCTACAACCCAGTCACTGAATAATCTAAATTTTACTTTCTATAGTTACTGAACACTGTGAAACTTATTTTATTTTTAACAAAGACTTTTTTTTTTATTTTATGGCTTCATGAATTTCCAATAATTTATTGAAAATGGAGGAAGTATAAGAAATAATATAAATAACATGAGGGAATTATTGGAGACTGACTGAAGAGTCTACTCTCAAAATAACAATATGCACACTCTGTCTTATTTATGAACCTGCCATGCCACACCTAACAAGGGCTTTTGATTTTATGTTTTTCTAGGACTGTCGGAAGAAACATAAAGATGCCAAAAGGAGAGTGAAGCCAAAATAATAAATGTCATCATTAGTTTTGATACTGAATGTAAAGAAGTCTTACCATGGAAATTGGAGTGATCTAGAAAATGATTTTAGCTGGCAAAGAATTCAGACTGAAGGAATATTCTAAATCTTACCTGGTGGATATCATTCTGATTGCTTTCTTTTTCTGTAGATTTCCTATTTGTTCTTACCTAATTACTTCAAACAGCCTGAACATTTGTTTTAATGAAGCATACGATAGTCCCTCAAAATACTTTGTATATATTTGCCCTCCATCTTCAATAACTAATGGACATTTCTTGACATGAGGTTTTAAAATATATGCATCAGAGCACTTATATTTTCCAAGTTATGTTTCATGTAAATTATACTTGAAATATTTCTGATTGTATTAAATACACCTTACCTCCATTGTGTGGTTTTTGTCTAAGAGGTTGAATACAAGTCAACCTTCAGTTCTGTATTTGTGTCCTGATGAATAAGCTAACTGAAATGCAGGACATTTCAGACCAACTTTATGGGAGAGTTCTGTGAGGACCAGAAAAGAATGCTAAATGCAGAGTTTTCCTTTCCTTAGCCTCCAGGAATTCATGGAGGCAGACCCGTCAGTCCCAAATTCTAGTTAGATTAGAAGCTTTTGAAAAATCGAGGTGCCTGAAAGATAACATAGTAACAGTTAGCAGTCAGTGCCCTGGGTCCAGATAAGGAAACAGATTTAATACCTCATTAAATTAACGTGGCTAGGATTCAAGACAGATAAGCCTCTATCAAACTGGGCTCTACAAAATTATGCTTTATATAATAAAAGTCCCAGGGGATTATCATTGAACCGTAATGGGTGTATCTGAAATTACATATTTATTGATTTACATCTTCATCAAATATAAACTCTGTGAAAGCTGGGATATCAGCTGGTTTGTCAGCACGACCTAGAACTATGTCTCTTTTAAACTGGGTGCTCAGTAAACAGGGTCTGAGGAGCTAAGTAACTGAAGAGTCATTCAAGAATTCCTGTTTCCAAGGCTTCAGACTTCATGAAAAATGGCAACCACCCTTCAGCAAGATAAATAACTCCACCTTTTCTTGATGTTCATTATATTTGTACCATCTTATCTACTGCTGCATAACAAGTCATCCTATTAACACTTGTTCATTTTCCTCACAGATAAGCAACTTTTTCAGGACTTTGGGGACTGCTCATCTCTACTCCATATAGTGTCATGGGAGTGGCCCAGCTGGCACTAAAGATCCACTTCTAAAATGGCCTGTTCACTCGATGCCTGTCCATTAGTTTCCTCACAGCATAGCAACATAACTTTCAGTTTCATAGCAAGTCATTTTCCTGTTCCTATTTTAGGAGCAGGAAGCAGATGTCTTAAGTCCTAGCCCAGAAACTGGCTCAGTTATTTCCACTATATTTTACAGGGTAAAACAGACTCTGAGCCCCTCAAAAATGCAGGGACATAGATCCTCACATCTCAGTGCAAAGAGTGTTCAGAATCTGTGGCCATGTTTGAATCTGTTATACCCTCCATCTCCAGAGCAGACAAATGGAGCATCAAGTAGCCTTGTGCATCACCAATTTGTGCTCCCCAGATATATCCATTTTCAGAAATTTGGTTTCCTCTGATATTATTTCTGAATTTCTACCTAATATGTTTATGCTGTGATTTCTTGGTTTTTCAGTTTTAGGCATTAAATTTAGACATCATTTTAAAATAATTAGACCTATAATCCTCACCTTTTTTCCCCATGAACATGTCTGTCTGGAAACCCTCTGTTCTGCTCTAATCTGGGCTGTCTGGACAGATGATAAAATGAACAAGGTGGCAATTTGAGGAATGTGAAAATTAAAACACATTCCAACTTCTAGTTAATAACCTAAGTGTTCTTAATTAAACTATCTCAGGAATGCCCTACACATATTCTCAGATCAGGTTTTTTTCTGTCCTTTTATTGGCTATCAGTTCAGTTCAGTCGATCAGTTGTGTCCAACTCTTTGCGACCCCATGGACTGCAGCACACCAGGCCTCCCTGTCTATCACCAACTCTCGGAGTTTACTCAAACTCATGTGCATTGAGTCAGTGAGGCCATCCAACCATCTCATCCTCTGTCATCCCCTTCTCCTCCTACCTTCAACTTTTCCCAGCATCAGGGTCTTTTCAAATGAGTCAGCTCTTGGCATCAGGTAGCCAAAACTGGAGTTTCAGCTTCAGCATCAGTCCTTCCAATGAACACCTAAGACTGATCTCCTTTAGGATGGACTGGTTGGATCTTCTTGCAGTCCAGGGGACTCTCAAGAGTCTTTTCCAACACCATAGTTTAAAAGTATCAATTCTTCGGCACTCAACTTTCTTTATAGTCCAACTCTCACATCCATACACGACTACTGGAAAAACCATAGCCTTGACTAGACGGACCTTTGTTGGCAATGTAATGTCTCTGCTTTTTAATACACTGTCTAGGTTAGTCATAACTTTTCTCCCAAGGAGCAAGCATCTTTTAATTTCATGGCTGCAGTCACCATCTACAGTGATTTTGGAGCCCCCCAAAATAAAGTCTGACACTGTTTCCCCATAAATTTCCCATCAAGTGATGGGACTGGATGCCATGATCTTTGTTTTCTGAATGTTGAGCTTTAAGCCAACTTTTTCACTATCCTCTTTCATCAAGAGGCTCTTTAGTTCTTCTTTGCTTTCTGCCGTAAGGGTGGTGTCATCTGCATATCAGGTTATTGATATTTCTCCCAGCAATCTTGATTCCAGCTTGTGCTTCATCCAGCCCAGTATTTCTCGTGATGTACTCTGCATATAAGTTAAATAAGCAGGGTGACAATATACAGCCTTGACATACTCCTTTTCCTATTTGGAACCATTCACTTGTTCGTGTCCGGTTCTAACTTGCTTCCTGATCTGCATACAGGTTTCTCAACAGGCAGGTCAGGTGGTCTGGTATTCCCATCTCTTGAAGAATTCTCTACAATTTGTTGTGATCCACACAGTCAAAGGCTTTGGCATAGTCAATAAAGCAGAAGTAGATATTTTTCTGGAACTCCCTTGCTTTTTCGATGATCCAGCTGATGTTGGCAATTTGATCTCTGGTTCCTCTGCCTTTTCTAAATCCAGCTTGAACATCTGGAGGTTCATGGTTCACGTATTGCTGAAGCCTGGCTTGGAGAATTTTGAGTATTACTTTATTAGCATGTGAGATGAGTCAAATTGTGTGGTACTTTGAGCATTCTTTGGCATTGCCTTTCTTTGGGATTAGAATGAAAACTGACCTTTTGCAGTCCTGTGGCACTGCTGAGTTTTCCAAATTTGCTGGCATATTGAGTGCAGCACTTTCACAGCATCATCTTTTAGGATTTGAAATAGCTCAACTGGAATTCCATCATCTCCACTAGCTTTGTTCATAGTGATGCTTCCTAAGGCCCATTTGACCTCACATTCCAGGATGTCTCACTCTAGGTGAGTGATCATACCATCATGATTATGTGTCGTGAAGATCTTTTTTGTACAGTTCTGTTTATTCTTGCCACCTCTTCTTAAATATCTGCTTCTGTTAGGTCCATACCATTTCTGTACTTTATCGAGCCCATCTTTGCATGAAATGTTCCCTTGCTATCTCTAATTGTCTTGACTCAATCTCTAATCTTTCCTATTGTGTTATTTTCCTCTATTTCTTTGCACTGGTCACTGAGGAAGGCTTTCTTATCTCTCCTTGCTATTCTTTGGAACTCTGCATTCAAATAGGTATATCTTTCCTGTTCTCCTTTACTTTTTGCTTTTTTGCATTTTTTTTTTCTTGGGGATGTCTTGGTCCCTGTCTCCTGTACAAAGTCACGAACCTCCATCCATAGTTCATCAGGCACTCTGTCTACCAGATCTAGTCCCTTAAATCTATTTCCTACTTCCACTGTATAATCGTTAAGGATTTGCTTTAGGTCATACTTGAATGGTCAAATGGTTTTCCCTACTTTCTTCAATTTATGTCTGAATTTGGCAATAAGGAGTTCATAATCTGAGCCATAGTCAGCTCCTGGTCTTGTTTTTGCTGACTGTATAAAGCTTCTCCATCTTTGGCTGCAAAGAATATAATCAGATTTTGGTGTTGACCATCTGGTGATGTCCATGTGTAGAGACTTCTCTTGTGTTTTTGGACAAGGGTGTTTGCTATGACCAGTGAATTCTCTTGGCAAAACTCTTAGCCTTCGTCCTGCTTCATTGGTGGGGCCATGCTCAGTAAATTGTTAATCCAATTTTCTGTTGATGGGTGGGGCTGTGTTCCCTCCCTGCTATTTATGTGGAGCCAAACTATGGTGGAGGTAATGCAGGTAATGGTGATCTCCCTCAAAAGATCCCATGCATGTACTGCTGTACTCAGTGCCCCCAACCCTACAGCAGGCCACCACTGACCCATGCCTCCTCCAGAGACTCCTGGACACCCACAGGCCACTCCCGGATATATTATTGGCTATAGTAAGCAGTTATACACTGAATTACTCTCAATTTGTCAAGGGCTGAAATTTTCTTCATAGTCTGGCTCCAATACTGTGATCAACTGTCCTTTGCATGGCTTTAGAGTCCCTTTGGTTTTTAATCAACATACCCAAAAGGTGCTGGGGAGACTCAAATCAGTGATATTAAATACATAAGTAAGCAGACTAATAGGCAAATAATTTTGTTTTCAATTCAGAAATCATTAAGATGTAATAGTTATAAAGATGGTTGTCAGGCATTTTCTTCCTTTCTCGTATCTCTCTTTATGTTTGTTTACCATTATTTCTGCAATACAATTCATGAAAACCCTGCAGATGGCACTCAGGAGAAAGGAAAGGTTTCTGTGAACTGCACTGACCTCTAGTGCTTCAGCTCCTCTCAGACCGTTCTGTGGCCTCTGTATTTCCCTGAGATATAGGAGGGTCTCTGAAGATAGGCAGGTCAAGAATTTTAGTGAGGAGCATAATTATCCAGAATGTGTGTTATAATGGGCTTCCCAGGTGGTGGTAGTGG